GGGCCTGGTTGCCCCTGATGGTTGGGGGAGCAGGACACCTCCCTACTCCACCACCACCATGACCAGCCATACCCACTCACGGTGCTGCCCTTACAGTGCTCCCTGGCCTGCCACAAGAAGTGTCTGGAGAACCTCCTCATCACCTGTGGCCACAAGAAGTTGCCCGCCCGCGTTCCTCTCTTCGGCGTCGACTTCGCGCAGGTCCCGCGCGACTTCCCGGAGGAGGTTCCGTTCCTGGTGGTCAGATGCACCTCGGAGATCGAGGCTCGAGCCCTGGGGGTTCAGGTGAGTGTCTTCTCACCTTGTATGTCTTCTGGGCTGCCCTTCCCCCAGAGCCCCTGACCTCCCTGCCGTGCCCTCTAGGGCATCTACCGCGTCAGCGGTTCCAAGTGCCGCGTGGAGAAACTGTGTCAAGCGTTCGAGAGCGGCCGGGGCCTGGTGGAGCTCTCCGAGCACTCCCCCCACGACATCACTGGGGTCCTGAAGCATTTCCTCAAGGAAGTAGGTGCCAAACTCCTCTTGGCTGACCTCAGTCCTGGGGCCAGGCCACGAGGTGACGGAACACACCTCTGTCCTCCTGCGCCGCAGCTCTCGTCGCCGGTGCTGCCGTCAAACCTCTACGATCGGCTCATGGCACTGGCCAAGGACCTGCAGAGACCCACGGAGGAGAAGGTGGAGGGCACAGGATTCCCACTGGATCCCATCCAGGGCATGAAGGATCTGCTGAGCAAATTGCCTGGGAGCAACTACAACACCCTGAGGCACCTCATCGCTCACCTGTACAGGTGAGGAGTGCGATGGTTGTCACGGGTGGCTCGGAAAGGTCCTGGAAGTTGCTCCCGTGGCAGAGACACCTCCCACCAGCTCAGGTGGCTCCAGGTCTCATCCAACCAGGCCTGGAACACTCCCAGGGATGGAGCAGCCAGAGCTGCTCTGGGAAACGTCATTGGTGTTGGGTCTGACCACTGGAGATCCTTGGTGGGACCTCAGCAGCTTGAGGAGAGCCACGTGGGCAGTGGAGGAGGGTGAAAACTGACTGAGGGAAGGACCATCCTGCAGTAATTAGGAGAGTCTTAATGACCAACAAGGTCCACCCTGGTAGCTCTGCAGAAAAAGCTGAGGGAGAGCTTGAGGAACAACATGAGTTGAGCTCCTTTGACTCACCTCGGGAAAAACATCTGCTGCACCATCCAGGCAGATCCAGGCACATTCCAAGGGTTTTCTCCAAGTTTCCCACAGTTTCTCCCAGCAGATGTGGGTTGGGTGATTCCATCCACGTCCTCTGCACATTGTCCTCTCTCTCCTCAGGGTGGCAGAGAACTACCAAGAGAACAAGATGTCTCCAAACAACTTGGGCATAGTGTTTGGGCCCACCCTGATCCGCCCGGGCTCGGGCACTGACGTCTCCATGTCCTGCCTGGTGGACTCAGGATACCAAGCCCAAATCGTGGAGTTCCTCATCCACAACTATGAGAAGGTGTTTGGGCTGGAGGATCTCCCCTCAGGCTCAGCCCTGCCCAGCCAGGAAGGGTTGTCAGGAAAGGAGGAAGGAGATCGGAACGTGGCCCTCAAGGTAGAGCTCCCGGAGGTTTTCTGGGATGAGGAGCTTGGGAGGTGGAGTAGGGAGGAAGGAGAACTTTTCCATGGAGCGAAGCAGAGGGTGGTTCCAGGAGGAAGGAGCCTGTGGCAGGAGGAATGAGAGAAAGCAACCTCAATTCCTGCTCTCCAGCTGCTTTGGAATTTTCCCTTCCTGCTCTGGAAAAGCATCCTGAGCCATAGTTTTTCCCTCATTCTTTCTGCCACTTCCTTCCCTCTTCCCCCCCAAGTGATGGCTGAAGACAAACCATGGAATTTCCAGCTCAAGCATCACCTCCTTTCCCTTAGCTCCAGTGGGAGTTGAGTTCTCTCCTCAGAGCAGTGTCCCCTAGAAACATTCGTGACTTTTTCCAACAGAATTCCTCCTCCAGGCGTGGGTCAAGCATGGACTCTGTGCCTGATGACTCCTCTTCCAGGGAAGCCGAGGCGACTCCGGAGGGAGCCCAGGACCTGTCCCAGGGGGACACAGGAGGTAATTAACAAACAGGTGATGATGTTGAGCAACCACCATGGAATCCTCCATGTCCTGCTCTGTTCTCACCTCCCCATCCCACACTCACCTCACGTGGACAACACTCTCATGGTGGAAGTTTAGGAGTGTCCTGGGAAGGTCCAGAAGTTGGACTCGATGATCCTTGTGGTCCTTTCCACCCTGACTCCACCAGCTCTCCTGGCTCCCACCACATCCAGATCTGTGGCTTTTTCCTCTTTCCAAAGCTTTTGGTCATCTCCTTGTGGCCATTCCTGAGGGATGAAACTGTTGGAAGGAGGAGGTTGAGCCTGAGGGATTGGAAGGTCCTAAAAAAGAGACAGGAGAGGTGACAGGGAAAGAAACCCTCAACCCAAATCCTGTTCTAGGAGAGTTTTCCACCTGTTTCCCCAGAGCTGAGTACAAGTGTTGAGTGGGAGTTGGAGGAACTGGAGAATTCCATGCAGGACAAGATGGACAATGAGGTGGACACAGCTCAGGAGAACCAACCCAAGTGCCACTTCAGTCGTCAACCGGCCAAGTACATCCGAGCTCAGCTGAAGACCAAGCCAAACATTCCCAAAGCTTCCAACCTGTCCTTGAGGACTTCCCTGGCAGCAGAGCCTGGTCTGGAGGATGATGGTGCTGACAGCAGCTCCAGCCTGAGGGATGTCCTGGAGGAGAATCCCAGGGGCAGGAACAGCCCCACGGACGTGGTCAGACATCGCCTGGGAGGGAAGCAGCAGCACAAACACTTTGAGATCACTCAGGAAACTGCCAGGATCATCTCCAAGTTTAAAGGGGAGGACAACTCTGTGTCCCAGGAGGTTCCTCTGGAGAGGGAGGGATCTGCTGGGAAAGGAGAGGACATCAACTCAGGGACTTACCTCTAGGAACCCTCCAAGGACTTGGGACAGGATGTGCTGGAGCTGCTGTGCTGGGTCATGGTTGGACTGGATGATCCTGGAGGTGTTTTCCAGCCCCTCCATGTCCCAGGAGGTTCCTCTGGAGATGGAGGGATCTGCTGGGAAAGGAGAGGACATCAACCTCCAGGAAACCTCCAAGGATGTGCTGGAGTTGCTGTGCTGGGTCATGGTTGGACTTGAAGTGTTTTCCAGCCCCTCCATGTCCCAGGAGGTTCCTCTGGAAAGGGGGAGGGATCTGCTGGGAAAGGAGAGGACATCAACTCAGGGACTTACCTCTAGGAAACCTCCAAGGATGTGCTGGAGATTCTGTGCTGGGTCATGGTTGGACTTGAAGTGTTTTCCAGCCCCTCCATGTCCCAGGAGGTTCCTCTGAGAGAGAGAGGGATCTACTGGGAAAGAAGAGGACATCAACCTCCAGGAAACCTCCAAGGATGTGCTGGAGATGTTGTGCTGGGTCATGGTTGGACTGGATGATCCTGGAGGTGTTTTCCAACCCCTCCATGTCCCAGGAGGTTCCTCTGAGAGAGAGAGGGATCTACTGGGAAAGAAGAGGACATCAACCTCCAGGAAACCTCCAAGGATGTGCTGGAGATGTTGTGCTGGGTCATGGTTGGACTGGATGATCCTGGAGGTGTTTTCCAAGCTTAGATTCCCTGGGGACTGGTGGGACTGGTGGGATTTGTGACTTTTCCTATGCAGGGGAAGGAGTATCCCTAGAGCTTTCAGTTCTCCTCCCACCCAAACCATCCCATGGTTTTCCATCCCTTTTTCCTTGCCCTGACACCTCATCCAGCTGAAGCTGTGGTTGTGCTCCATCTGCTTCCAGAGGTTTTCCTGATTTTTTGGCAGGGCAGAAAAGCATCTTGGACACTTTTTATGGCTCTTTTCCCCCCTGAGTTTCCATGGAAGCAAACAGGGACCTGGGGAGGGGGGAAGGTTTGGAGGGATAATCCCTAGCAAAGAAATGCCTGGAAGTTTTTCCTGGTTTGCCAAGGAAAGTGGGATCAGGGAGAACTCAGAGTGAGCCTGGAGCTGCTCCCTGTGGCTCCAAGGGAGGCAAATTCCATGGATGGATTGGGATTTCTGCCCTCCCTCTGTGTTTCCAGGGATTCTTGGATGCCTTGAGCCAGCACAGCTCCAACACCTGGGAGAGGGGGTGGAAATTCCTGCATTTTTAAGGCTCTTACCCAAGGCTGGAGCAACTGGAGAGTTGTGGATTTAGGGAATCTCTGGGCCAGTTGGGATTTGGGAAGGATAAATTGGAGCAATTTTTTTTTTTTTTTGGGGGGTGGAGGGGGAGTGATAATGGTGTTATGATGGTGTGACTCATTCCAGGAGGTTTTCAGCATTCCTGGGATTCCAGGAGAAGGATTTCAGCCCCCCCAAAAAATAAACCCCAACCAACCCTTGGGTTGTTATCCAAGGGGGAACAGCCACAGCCAGGAGGGGGAAAGCAAAATATTTCCTTCAGGGTTTGTTTGGAAATGCAAAATCCACAAAAACAACAATCAACTCCAACCCTCTGGAAAG